CCAGTCTCTTCTTAAAAACTTCCAGTGTTGGAGCATTCACCGCTTCTGGAGGCAGGTTGTTCCACTGGTTAATTGTTCTAACTGTCAGGAAGTTTCTCCTCAGTTCTAGGTTGCTTCTCTCCTTGATCAGTTTCCACCCATTGCTTCTTGTCCTGCCTCCGGGTGCTTTGGAGAATAGCTTGACTCCCTCTTCTTTGTGGCAACCCCTGAGATATTGGAACACTGCTATCATGTCCCCCCTCATCCTTCTCTTCATTAAGCTAGACCAGTGGTTCTCAACCTTTTTAATGCCGCGACCCCAACCGGTCGTAAGTCGAGGACTAAACCGGTCGTAAGTCAAGGACTAAACTGGTCGTAAGTCGAGGACTAAACCAGTCGTAAGTCGAGGACTACCCAACCGGTCATAAGTCGAGGACTTTCCCTGCCCGGGAGCGCCATGCATGCGTGGTTCCGCCCCCTGTGCTGGCCGAGGCGTAGCTGGCAAGCGGCAGAGACGGAGCAGGCCGACCACCAGCTGGCCCAGCCCAAGGGAGGTAAAGCACCCGCTGGAAAAGAGGAAAAATGGTGAACAAAAAAAATGGCGGACAGCCTTGCTTGGCGACCCCCATGAAATGGTCGATCGACCCCAAATGGGGTCCCGACCCACAGGTTGAGAACCACTGAGCTAGACTAACACACTTCCCTCCTCCTATTTTCCCCATACCCTGTGAGGTGAGTTGGACTGAGAGACAGGGATTGGCCCAAGGTCACCCATCTGGCTTTCATGCCTAGGGCAGGACTAGAATTCATAGTCTTTTGCTTTTCAGCCTGGTGCCTTAACCACTAGGTTAATTTGCCTTGCTGTTGTGTTTGTGTCTGTCTGTGTCTGTGTGAGTGAGTGAGTGAGTGAGTGTGTGTGAGAGAGAGAGAGTGAGTGAGTGAGTGAGTGAGTGAGTGAATGAGAGAGTGAGTGAGTGAGTGAGTTGGCAAGAATACAGAAATGGTTTGCCACGTCATTCTCATTCTGTGATGGTTTTCTGATGTCCTGGATGAGCCCCAAGCTCTGGGATTTCCTAAATTCTTCCACCTGAAATACCAGGTAGATGCAACACAGCTCCAATCTTCTCCAAACCTCTTCTAATGTCTTGAGACCACAGCTCTCAAAATTCCCTGGCACTTTTCATCCCATTCCCACCTGACAAGTGGAGGATGCTCAGGCTAGGGTTTAGTGACAGTCAACTCTATCCTCTTAACCTCTTATAGCAGAGCAGAGGAATTGGAAGATAAGGTCAAAAGTGGAGGAGAAAAATCCCTTTCCTTTCAAACTGAGCCATCCAGGAGACTGAAAAATGAGCCATCCAGGAGCCCCTAAAAATGCAGCATGCTTGTTCTAGATAGGCTTCACCCCAAATGGAGTGATGGTGCTGTGTGGATTGGGGAGATGTTACACGTGCTTTTGAGAGGTCTCCACTTGCTTCTAGAACTTCTAGAAATGACTCTCTTTTGCCCTGGCACCTGAGAAGACCTTCTGGGTCTCCATGTCCCAAAGGTGCTTTTTCCCCCGAAAGGCAACCAGACTTTCTTAGTTTTTTTTCTTTGAAAAAGTTTTGCTTCTCATCCAAGACGTTTCTTCAGTTCTAACACCCAAGACGCTTCTTGGGTGAGAAATGAAATATTTTCAAAGGAAGAAAAAAAAAACCCAAGAAACTCCAGTTGCCTTTTGGAAAAGGCATCTTTGGGACAACTATGACCTGGATGATTGAGAATATCCATAGACACCTGGGTCACCTTGTGCATCAGATCATTCTTCCTTCCAAAATCCAAAAATACTAATATCTTTTGAAGAACTCACCACACATTTTACCCCAGGGGGTTTTCCTGAAAAGTCTTGTTCTGACTGCTGAAAAATTTCCCCTCCCTCCCCAAATATGGTTATCATCTGGTGATCTAATGAGAGGAAAAATGCCTGAGACATCTGGGGAGGGGGAAGAAAAGGACATGTGATTATGTGACAGACAGAAATTTGGGGGAAATCCAAGGGACGCGGGCTGTTTTCTTATTAAAAAGAAGAAAATCCATCTCATTCAAGGAAAGAGTCAGAGCTGTGCAGCACGGCTGAGATGGTCATTTTAAAGGTATTAATGAAATGATTTGGTCTGTATGGGTAGGCCTCACCTTAAGACCTCAATTGGGGCCAGAATTTCTGTTGCTAAGCAAGGCGGTTGTTTTATTTATTTTTATTTCTTAAATTTATGTTGTGCATCTTGCAGTTGGGAATTAGTAGAAGAGGAGGGAGGGAGGGAGGAAAGAAGGAAGGAAAGAAAAATAAGAAATAAGAAATAAGAAAAAAAGAAAGAAAGAAAGAAAGAAAGAAAGAAAGAAAGAAAGAAAGAAAGAAAGAAAGAAAGAAAGAAAGAAAGAAAAAGAAAGAGGGCGGGAGGGAGGAAGGGAAAGAAAGAAAGAAAAAAGGAAGGAAGGCAGGAAGGAAGGAAGGAAGGAAGGAAGGAAGGAAGGAAAGAAAGAAAGAAAGAAAAAAGAAAGAAGGAAGGAAGGAAGGAAGGAAGAAAGAAAGAAAGAAAGAAAGAAAGAAAGAAAGAAAGAAAGAAAGAAAGAAAGAAAGAAAGAAATTTTTTTTTAAATCAAATTTAGGTACTGCCCATCTTACTCTTGCGATGACTTGGAAATTTTAAAAAAATTTTATGGGGTTTTCAGTTCTGAGAATATCTTTACAGAAAATGCAATTACCAATTAATGAGAGAGGATTCGGTTTTCTGAATCTGCAGTTATATCCTCAAGCTTAGCTATTGTCAATTATTAAGTATTGGAAGTCCATGTCTGGTATTAACTTTCCGATTTAGGCAACTTTGGTATATCCCTAAATAGCATCCTTAAACAGTGAACAGTATTAGGATCTAAATACAGTAGAGCTGTAGTATCTCTGGAAACAATATCAGTTACGAAGCTATCAAATGGAATATCTAATAAAAACAGATTCAATCCTTTTTCCCATGCTAAATTGACTTTATGGAGAAATCCCGTCTTAAAAATTGTGATGTGGAAAAATTGGACGAAAGCAATATCCACATACGTGGATTCTCTCCGTGAAAATCTATCCCTCATCTGGTCTTTCAGGTCTTCCAATGATTGCACCCATTGGCGCTGCAACTGAGTCCTTCCCCTTTATTGGTGGTTGTCCTTTTCTCCCTTTCCTTCCATTGTTTCCAGCATCAGAGCCTTCTCCACAGAGTTGGGTCTTTGCATCATGGGTCCATAGTAGAATCATGTGAGCCTGCTTATTTGTGCCTCAAGGGAGAACTCTAAGTTGATATGTTTAATGATCCACTAGTTGATCCACTATCTATTTTTGGCTGTCCATGGTTTGATTTGTTTAATGATCCACTGGTTTATTTATCTATTTTTGGCTGTCCATGGTTTGATTTGTTTAATGATCCACTGGTTTATTTATCTATCTTTGGCTGTCTGAGGAGTCTTTTCTAATACCAAAGTTCAGAGATGTCAATATTCTTCCCATCCTGTTTCTCTGAAGTCCAACTTTCACTTTCAGAGAGAGTCCCAGAGAATACTATGACTTGGATGTTTTGATCTCGTTAGGTTATCTGACACAATTTACTTTGCTTTTCCAGCTGCAGCAGAACGACCTCTTCTGAAAGTCTGAAAGAGAAGGAAATAGAGCCACTCATCCATTTTGACAAGGTGGGTTTCATTTTTTCATGTTTTACAATTACTGTGTTAATGTATATATATGTACAGTATATGTGTATATATGTATACAGGTAGTCCTCGATTTACGACTTGTATTGATAATAATGAATGGCATTGATTTAATTTTTTGCAAATATCTTCAATACCTGGCATATACAGGTAGTCCTCGACTTACGACCACAATTGAACCCAAAATTTCTGTTGCTTAAGTGAGATATTTGTTAAGTGAGATTTGCCCCATTTTACGACTTTCCTTGCCACAGTTGTTAAGGAAATCAATGCAGGTGTTAAGTCAGTAACACAGTTGTCAAGTGAATCTGGCTTCCCCGTTGACTTTGCTTGTCAGAAGTTTACAAAAGGGGATCACGTGGCCCTAGGATACTGCCACCGTCATAAATATGAGTCAATTGCCAAGCCTCTGAATTTTGATCATGTGACCATGGGCATACTGCAACAGTTGTTAGTGTGAAAAACAGTCTTAAGTCACTTTTTTTCAGTGGCATGTAATTTCGAATGGTCACTAAATGAACTGTTGTAAGTGGACGACTACCTATATATATGTAAATATATGTATATGTATATGTATATATGTGTGTTATGTGTACGTGTATGTATAAATATGTGTATTTCTCAGGAAAGCACAACTTTTGAAACAAAAGGATCTTTTACTGAGAGAAAGTGATTGCAGAGTAGTCAGGCAGAATCTGAAGTTCCTGTGCAAAACCATTAAGCTAAATTTTCCATTGTCCATGCCCCAATGCCCCAGTCCATCAGGAACCAATCTGCTGAGTGAAGATGATGTGAGAACTTCGAGCCGAAAAGATGATAATGAGCTGTTCTCTGATGCTGCGACCTTGCTAGCAGGCAGGAGTTAGCCGGAAAGGAGTCAAACCAGATGGCCCCGCGGGCTCATTCCCCCTTCCCCAATTCCCAGGCAGATACATCAAAGCAAAAGAAAAACTGTATAGAAACGTCCTCAATTCTTCCCCCCTCCCTCCAGAATGGCAATGTTCTGGCAGGGACCTGACACATCCCCTCTCCCCCCCCCCACCCAGTGGTGGGATTCAAATATGTGAACAACCAGTTCTCTGTGTGGATGCTGCTTCTGGAAGTCCATTCTGGGCCTGGGCAACAAAAGATTAGCTACCGGATCTGCCGAACTGGTGCGAACTGGCTGAATCCTACCACTGCCCCCACCCCTGTCGCCACTGCCAGTCTCCAACGCTGGAAAGTTTGTGGGCCTCTGCTCTAGATGACCTATGTTGTTGGTTGACTTCCCTTTTCAACAGACTTCCCTTAACAGTGGACAAGTGGAAGGAATCATGCCACCCCAGCATCCGCTGCTTAATAACACTCTGCCCCAGTTTGTGAGTCTGGACTTCCCCCTGGACCATCTCCTGGAACAGCTGAGACCTAACCTGAAAATCAGGCAGCAGGTGGCTGAGCTGGAAACTCGCCAGAAGACCTTGGAGAACATTGTCTCAGTTCTAAGCCGGGAGCTGGGCAGAAAAGAAGAGGCCCCTGAGGTCAGGCTTGGAGAAGCTCTGGCCAGAATCCTGTGTCTGGAGGAGAAAGTAAGAGATGTCCTTTGGAAAGATTAAGTTGATGCTTTTTAAAAAAAAAAAAAAAAAATCAAATGTCTCCAATGAGAACTTATAGATCAGAGGTGGGGGACAATGGCTCCTTTATAACTTGTGGACTTCAACTCCCAGAATTCCTGAGCCAACATGGCTGGCTGAGGAATTCTGGGATTTGAAGTCCACAAGGCATAAAAGGGCCATCATTCCCCACACCTATTATAGATAGTCCTCAATCTACAATCTTTTGTTCAGTGGCCAAAGTTACAATGGCACTGGAAAAAGTTACTTATAACTGGTCAACGCACTTAAGACTATTGTAGCATAGTCACATGATGAAAACAAAGACATTTTGCAACCAGCATGTATTTATGATGGTTGCGGCATCTCAAGGTCAAGGTCATGTGGCCGCCATTTGTGGCCTTCCCAGCCAGCTGGGAAGCAAAATTAATGGGGGAAACCAGATAACTGAGTTAACATTGAAGCTGGTTTCATTCTTTGTGCTAAGCCAGAGGTGAGCAACTATGGCCTCTTTATGACCTGTGGACTTCAACATGGCTGACTCAGGAATTCTGGGAGTTGAAGTCCACAGGTTGTAAAGGGTCCACAATTGCTCATCCCTGTGCTAAGCCATGGTCACTGCAACCATGGCTTTATTGAATAAACTGCAATTGGCTAAAATATATATTATGGTTGGGCAGGCTTTGTAATCCAGCTGCCGAAATTGTAAAGGATAAGGGGGCACTGTGAATAAAATATTATGCACCCTTTATGAGCTGTGGACTTCAACATGGCTGGCTCAGGAATTCTGGGAGTTGAAGTCCACAGGTTGTAACCTTGTGCAACCATGGCTTTACTGAATAAGGTGCAATTGACTAAAAGATATTATGGTTGGGCAGGCTGTGTGATCCCAGTTGCAGAAATTGTAAAGGATAAGGGAGCAGTGTGGGAAAAAAAGATTATGCTTTATTCTTTTTCTCTTCTATAGTTATTGATTAATCATTCACTTGTCTCCATGAAGTACTGTAATACAATGTCAGGTAACTGAATTTAATTGAAGGTATCAATATTCTCTTCCTCTTTTGTAGAATCTCACCATATCCTCCTCTGTACTTCCATGTATTCTTTCCAGATAGAACAGCAAGATTCACTCTTGGCTCTGAAAGATGTGATGATCAGCAACTTGGTATCCCGGATCCAGGCCTTGGAGCAAACCAGCTATGATGGGTGTTTCCTCTGGAAGATCCCCAGGGTGGCGATTCGAATGCGGGAAGCGCAAATGGGCAAACGGCCTGCCCTTTATTCCCCCCGTGAGTGACCAAACCGGGAGGTTAAAGGAAAAGGGGGGAGCGATTTCTTAGAACAAAAGTCCCTGCTTGATGTCTGTGGAGATTCTCAGTCATCCAGGTTATAGTTGTCGCAAAGGTGCTTTTTGCTTCAAAAGGCAACTGGATTGTTTTTTTTTTCCCCTTGAATAAGATAGAAGGAAACTCTTTCCTTCTCATCCTAGAACAGTGGTGGCGAACCTATGGCACGCGTGCCACCGGCGGCACTCAGAGCCCTCTCTGTGGGCACACGTGCTGTTGCCCCAGCCCCGCCTCCCCCCACGGCCCTCTTCTCACCAGCAGCCCCCCTGGAGGAGAGTCGCCCCTGAGCGTGGACTGCATGGAGCAGCGCAGCCAAGGACATGGCAGCTGGGCAGCGGGGCCAAGACTCCGCCCTTGCACTCCATCGCACGCAGATGATGCTGTGAGGCATGGGTGGAGGGCATGGCTGCCATGCCGCTGCTGGGCCGCCTGGGCGATCTGCTGTGGCGGGCCGTGGAGGCGGGGGGTGACCTTGCGGGGGGTGGGGCGGAGCGGGTGGGGCATGGAGCGGGATGGGCGGGGTGGCAGGGTGGTTTTTGGGCACTCAGTCTCTAAAAGGTTCACCATCACTGTCCTAGAAGCTTCATCAGTTCTGATGGCTAGGGGAGGGTTGGTGGTGGAAGGATAGATACTGACAGTTGAATCTGGATGGTGGGGGGAAAGGAAGGATAATTCTGATAGGATGGTGGGGTGGAACGGAAGAATTGTATATTTCTTTGCAATATTACTCCTTCCACCACCACCATCCTATCACAATCTAGAATAGAATAATAGAATAGAATAATAACTTTATTGTCACTTTGAATGTATACTAATCGGCATATTTAAAATGACATTTCATTGCATACGGCTTTCAAAGGGTCACCATCTCCGATATACAATCAATCAATCAATAAAAACAGATTTATGTATATACCCATATAACCTTTCCTTCCATCTCCCCCACCATCAGAATTGATGAAGTTTCTTGGATGAGAAGCAAAAGCTTTTCTTCTTCTTCCTCAAGAAAAAAAAACAGCCCAGCCTTTTGAAGGAAACAGCACTTTTGAGATCCCTGCTTGGCGGTTGACTTTCTGACTACAGTATTGTGATTGTAGGCTTGCCACTATGGGGAAACACAGGAAGATCCAGCCTGTGCATCCTGCTGGGACTATAAAAGTTGCAAATTCATGGCCCCATTCAGAAGTAGGCTTGAAGATCCTAGGAAGGAAGGAGGGGAGAAGGAAGGAAAAAAGGAAGAAAAGAGAAAAGATGGAGGAAGGGGAGGGAAGGGGAAGGAGGGAGGGAGGGAGGGAGGGAGGGAGGGAGGGAGGAAGGAAGGAAGGAAGGAAGGAAGGAAGGAAGGAAGACAGATGCTGGAAAGCAAAAACACTAGCTCCTATTATTGTATTTATTTTCAGAGTTACATTTGAACCCCACAAAGTATCCCTGGAATAGTAGAAGGCATCCTAGACTAGAGCCTTCAGTTTTGCCCATGGCCAAAATTGTCCTGTGTTTTATACATGGCCAAAATGGTACACTGTCCCAGCTGCCATTTTATGAGCAGGCAAATCCTTCTTGTGAAAGGCACCCATCAAATTAATGTGAAGATTCCAATTTCCTTCAAAAGGTTTGTCTGGTCTATCCTGCAATAGAGTTTATCAAAGAGACAAGTAGGTATTATTGTTCTTGCTGCTCTTAGCATCTCGTGTTTTTCTCCTTCGTGCCCCTCCAGCATTTTATACCACCCGGTATGGCTATAAGCTCTGCCTGAAGCTTTTCCTGAACGGAGACGGGACCGGTGCTGGAACTCACCTTTCGCTCTTCCTGGTTGTGATGAAAGGAGAACACGATTTTCAGCTGAAATGGCCTTTCCAACATAAGGTATGGAGCTTCTGAACTGGTGGTAGGGGGACATGGCATAGGAAGCTCCCTCCCTCAATTTTCCTGGCTGTGGCTGCCACCTGTTCTCCAAACAGCAGCTATAAGTTCAAGAGGATTCTCAAATTGCACACCAACTCTTTTCAGGAGAGTGCCATCCCATAAAGTCCACAGCCACTCTTCTTTGCTAGAATTAGATTTAAGTCCAGACCTCCGCAGCTCTAAGCATTGGGTACAAATCCTGATAGCATCACTTAAGGAGCCAAGGCAGAGATGTACACTTTGTCATGAGCATATAGGTAGTCCTTGACTTACAATAGTTCATTTAGGCCTGGAGGCTAAAACATACGAAGAACGGCTGCAGGACTTGGGTTTGGCTAGTCTAAAGAAAAGAAGAAATAGGGGAGACATAATAGCAGTGTTCCAGTATCTGAGGGGCTGCCACAAGGCAGAGGGGATCAGGTTGTTCACCAGAGCACCAGAGGGAAGGACGAGAAACAATGACTAGAAACTGATCAAGGAGAGAAACAACGTGGAATTAAGGAGAAACTTCCCGACAGTGAGGATAATCAACCAGTGGAACAGCTTACCCCCAGAAATCGTGGGCACTCCATCACTGGAGATTTTTAAGAAGAGACTAGACAACCGCCTGTCTGAGATGGCATAAGTTCTCCTGCTTGAGAAGGGGGCTGGACTAGAACACCTCCAAGGTCCCTTCTATTCTATTCTATTCTATTCTATTCTATTCTATTCTATTCTATTCTATTCTATTCTATTCTATTCTATTCTATTCTATTGGCTACTTGAAGTTAACAGTGGCACTGAAAAAAGTGACTTATGACCGTTGCAGCATCCCCATGGTCATGTGATCAAAATTCAGACACTTGGCAACTGACTCATATTTATGACGGTTGCAGTGTCATGGGGGTCATGTGATTATCACTTTTGCAGCCTTTTGACAAGCAAAATCAATGGGGCAGCCAGATTCACTTAACAACCACATTAGTAACTTAACTGCAGTGATTCATTTAAGAACTGTGGCAAGAAAGGTTGAGGCCTATCTGTACTGATTATGCTTAAGCCCATGCCAATGGATGGGCTCAACTGGTAGCTTTAAGTTGCTTTATGTGCCCTGAGGCACTCTGAAATGCTGGGTTCTACAGCTGGGCCTCCTCCCCTAAAATCATGCCCCACATTCTTAACCCCCTAAGCTAGCCCAGGTTACAATTCACGGTTTTGAAAGACCCAGAAAGCAATCTGACCTACACACAAGGGGATACATGACCTCCGACCAAAGCTATCTTATCTAGTGCTTGTAAATTGGTACATATAATATGCAAAATATAGTGCCTATAATTTCTCCCTTCTTTAAAATGCAGGTGACCTTCACTTTGTTGGATCAAGTCAACAATCGTCATGTTTCCACCTCTTTCCGTTCCTTGGAATCCTCGTCTTCATTCCAGCGGCCCATCAACGAAACCAACGTGGCCAGCGGCATCCCCACGTTCTACCCCTTGAACTCACTCCACGAACCAGGGACTGGCTACATCCATAATGACATGTTAGCCATTCAAGCTGTGATCGACACAAAGGCTTAAACTAATGGACGACACCCAGTTGCTCCGACATGATGGGAGGCTCCAAAACATCTTGTCGAAAGACAGAGCTACACTGCTGTATTTTTTTTTCAAACTCTACTCAACAAGGCTACAATTGAGAAAACTCTGTGGGGCTTATTCAACCCCTTCCCTATCACTCATGCAATAGCCCAGAGATTGAAGGACTCCCTAAAGTCTGTGCTCCTAATGCAAATTTGAACCCATTAATTTATTCTGAGATCTGGATACCACAACGGGATTGGTATGCAGAATCCAAAATATTCTGTCAAGGGTAAAAAGGAGATATAAAGCTAAGGTTTTCTGCTGCAAAACCCATTTCTAGTGTTTTGAAAAGTAAAACTATTCTCTCTTCACATCCTTGCCAGAAGAGGTGGACCTATTGATGTTTTGTTGACCATTAAATGTATTTGTCTTATTTCTTATTATATATTGGTCTTGTTTTTCTTATTTATTGTATTATTTTTCTTATTGGTTATTGTTTGATTACTTTCTTCATCTGCCAACCAGCAGAGTTTTGAGGCAATTATCAACCATTAAAAGCATACTTCAGCTTTTTTAAACCCAGCAAAGTCAGATTTTTTTCTCTTCAGTGGAAACCATATTCTGAAGACCTGGGGTGGCTTTGGAGACAGCTCAACCCATGCTGCTGTGAAACAGATCAATGGCGAAAGGACATCTCGAAGATTCAGACACAAATTGTAGTAATTTAAAGGTTAAAAATCTTTGGAAATACTGTAAATATGAAAGTATGCAAGTAGATTAATAGGTATCACTCCACTGGGAAGGTAACAGCGTTCTGCACGCCTTTGGTCAGTGGTGGGATTCAAATACCTGAACAACCGGTTCTCTTATTGGATGCAGGCCTGGGCCTCCGACGCCTAGAACGGACTTCCGGAAGTGGCATCCGTGCATTTCCGGCAGGCTGTTCTACGCCTGGGAGGGCTCCTCCAGGCCTCCGAGGCCTAGACTGGACTTCCGGAAGCAGTGTGTATTCAGCTGGTTCTCTGAACTCAGCAAAATTTAGCTACCAGTTCTGCCGAACCGGTGCGAACAGGCTGAATCCCACCACTGCCTTTAGTGCAGTGGTGGTGAACCTATGGCACGCGTGCCAGAGGCGGCACTCAGAGCCCTCTCTGTTGGCACGCGTGCCACCACCAGCAGCAGCAGGTCCATCAGGCTGTCCCCGCCGCTCAGAGCAGGAGCCCCGCCCAGCACAAAGGAGGCAAAGCGGCTGACTAGCAAGTTGAGTAGAGGTGGTAGAGCAGAGGTCACCAACCATTGTCGATTGGTGGATTGGAAGAAAAGGGAGGGAGAAGCATTTTACATGCGTGTACATGTGCACGGGGCCGCGAGCACTCACGGGCTGCCAATGGGGCAGAGCTAGTGTCTGTGTGATACTCACTAGCCCTGCCCCGTTCTTATGTGGTGCAGCGCCTTGCATCTGCACTCTGCGGCATGGCGGTGGCCATTTTTGCGCCTTGCAGCACGGTGGCCCATTTTTCTGTCCCTGGTTTTTGCGTGCCAGAGGCGGCACTCAAAGGTACCTCCCTGCCCCCCCCCAAGGGCACCACAATGCTGATGCAGCCCTGGCACTTTGCAATAAATAAGTGGATTTTGGGTTGCGATTTAGGCACTCGGTCTCTAAAAGGTTCGCCATCACTGCTTTAGTGCATAGCCATGGTGGCCACATGACCAGAAATTGTTTTCAGACAACGCTGGATTCCCTCAGCCAAGAAACAAAGGTGAGCACCATGCCCTAGAGTGGGACACGACTGGACAGGGAAACCTTTACCTTTTTAGAGGTAGCCCTCAACTTACGACCACAACTGAGCCCAAAATTTCTGTTGCTAAGACATTTGTTTAGTGTTGTCCCATTTTACGACCTTTCTTGCCCCAGTTGTTAAGTGAATCACTGCAGTTGTTAAGTTAGTGATAAAGTTGTGAACTGAATCTGGCTTCCCTATTGACTTTGCTTGTCAGAAAGTCGCAAAAGGGATACTGGGACACTGCAGCCATCATAAATATGAACCAGTGGCCAAGCGTCCGAATTTTGATCATGTGATCATGGGGATGCTGCAAGAGTCATAAGTGTAGAAAACGCTCATAGGTCACGTTTTTCAGCGCCATTGTAACTTTGAATGGTCACTAAATGAACTGTTGTAAGCTGAGGACTACTGTACTTGGAAATGAACTAACAGTTGGTGCAATAAGTTTTCTTTCCCTTTCTAAAAAAAAAAAAAGTGGTTGTAGTAATGGAGATGTTCCAAGGAAAAATACAAATTGGATTCCCATTCTTAATATTGGATCTGGACTGCTCTCCAGAGATCCTATAGATGAAAATTTTGATTTCTTTACCCACTTTAATTTTTTTCTAATGTTCACATAATGAGAACTTTGTTCTTCCTCCCCCACAGCTAAGAAAAAAAACACGAAGTACACAAAAAGCCAAGTTTGGCAATAAATATCTGATGCCATATTGACCTGAACGGAAGATGAACCGAAATCATAAAATAACCTTCCACTGAAAAGAAACCTTACAAGAAAAAATCCCCCATTTCTGTTTCCATTCCTATTTTACTTACTTTCAAGTAAATGCAGCACTTCCTCATTATACCCACCTCATGCATACATCCTCTCAATTCTGATCATTAGCTCTTTGTATATGCAACTCTGAAAATTCCCTAAAAAGACCCTGACAAGTGTTCAAAATGGAGGTAAGGGAGTTGTAACAATTGAATTATTCTATCACACCCTACATGGGGCTGCTCTTGAGGACCATCTAGTACTTCAGCTGATCCAGAATCCAGCAAGATAGTGTTAACTGTCCAGTTGGTGAATCCAGAAACAGAAACTCCTGGGACATTATTTTACCAAGAGTATAAAACTTTACTGAATAAACCACGTTGGCATTGAAGAAGCGAAACCAGCTCTGGATTTCCCATGCAAATGCAAGCATAGTTAATTCCCCCTTTCCCTACGGGCCATCCACACTCCATTATGTCCAACCAACCACTTCTGTTCATTACGAATAACTCAAGATGGTAACATACCCAACACACCTTCCTCCTCCTATTTTTCCCACAGCAATCCTGTGAGATGAATTGGGCCAAGAGATTGAATGACTGGCATAGGGTCACCCAAATGGCTTTCATGGCTAAGGCGGGACTAGAACTCCCAGTCTCCCGCTTTCTAGCCTAGTGACTTAACCACTAGGCCAAATTGGTCTATTTCAGTGGTTCTCAACCTTTTTAATGCCGCGACCCCAACCAGTCGTAAGTCGAGGACTAAACCGGTCGTAAGTCGAGGACTACCCAACCGGTTGTAAGTCGAGGACTTTCCCTGCCTGGAAGCGCCGCGCATGCGTGGTTCTGCCCCCTGCGCCGGCCGAGGCGTATCTGGCAAGCGGCAGAGACAGAGCAGGCCGACCACCAGCTGGCCCAGCCCAAGGGAGGTAAGGCACCCGCCAAAAAAGGGGGAAAAATGGCAGACAAAAAAAATGGCGGACAGCCTTGCTTGGCGACCCCCATGAAATGGTCGATCGACCCCAAATGGGGTTCCGACCCACAGGTTGAGAACCACTGGTCTATTTGTTACTCTGTGCTCTTTACTATCTCCTAATAAGCTTCCAAGTACAATTCAAGATGCTGGTTATCACCTTTAAAGCCATACCTGGCATAGAACTTGGGCCTTTTGCAGATTTGCCTGCCCTCCCCAAGAACACTGCCAGCCCCAGGTGTTCCCACTCCCACTCATTAAGGCATCACTTGATAGGACTTAAGAAGCATCACTTTTTAGTGGCTGTCCTGCTCACTGGAATGATCTTCTCCCATCTGATGGGCCTGACTCTGTCTCCCACTAGAATGGTGTTTCCCCAGATCTGAATGGGGGTGAATGTCTAAGTTGGGGATGTCTGACCTTGGTAACTGTAAGAATTCTGGACTTCAACTCCCAGAATTCCCCAGCTAGCAATGGCTGGCTGGGGAATTCTGGGAATTGAAGTTCACAAGTTTTGAAGTCTCCAAGGTTGGGCACACTTAGTCTTGGGTGAATGGAGTCCCCTATTGGTTGTTTTAATCTATATCATTCAGCTTGCCATTTTTGTACATTTGTATTTTCTTTCAAGAATGTGTAATTGATTTTTTGTTTTGGCTACATGTTTAATTTTGTGTTGTATGAGGCCCAGACTCACACTCAACTGACTGAGTTGGATAGTTCAAAATAGAGACAGGATGGGCCTCGTAGAGATTGCAATTCGCAAAACTAAGCAGGAATCATCAGCTACATACCGGTATTATGCTTTGCTAATGTATCTCCTGGTTTTATTTTGCTTTTTTTGCTTACTGCAAGAACAAAGAAACATCAAACATCTAGCAAGGCACAAACACATTGTGATATACCATATTCCATTTGATGTGAAAGCTACACTACACAGCTAAACACCATGGACCCATGTTGAAAATATCCTGTCGGTTTTGAAGAACCATCCCTTATCATCTCTATTCCATTACTTCTCACACAGTTAAAGAAAATAAATCTGAATCCCAAATATCCATCACCTTTTATTTTGCGCTTTGAATTGTTAGGGGACACCATCATTTATTAGACAAAAACAGAAACTGAGGTAGTCCTTGACTTACAATCATTCGTTTAGTGGCTGCACTGAAAAAAAATGACCATTTTTCACAATTACCACCGTTTTACCATCCCCATGGTCATGTGATCAAAATTTGGACACTTGGCAATTGGCATGTATCTATGACTGTTGCAGTGTCCTGGGTCATGTGATCAGCTTTTGCAACCTTCTGACAAGCAAAGTCAATGGGGAAGCCAGATTCACTTAACAACCATGTTACTAACTTAACAACTACGGGGATTCAGTTAAAACCTGTGGCAAGTAAGGTCGAAAAAAGGGGGCAAAACTCACTTAACAAATGTCTTGCTTAGCAACTGAAATTTTGGGCTCAATTGCGGATGCAAGTCAAGGACTACCTGTGTAAAAAGAGAATGCCGTTAAAATGGAGGCTTTTCAGGTGGAGGATGGCTGTGTGAACCAAAATCCAAGAATGCAACCGAAGAAGAGAGGGCAAGCAAGAAATTGAGCTGTTGCAGTCTTTTATTTATTACTTTTTTTAAACTGATTGCACAGAGGGTTAAGGGAGACAGTGAGTGAATCATCTAGAAACCTAGAGCTGGTCATCAGCAGAACTGTTCTCAAGAACATTGCTACAAGTGCCCCTTCACCGCATTACACAGATACATAATGTGCTGCTGCTGAAGGAAAATCTCCTCGGTGATGACTTTAGTTTTGCGAGTTTGCAGAGAAGAGGCAATAAGGAAACTGTTGTGAGCTGGGAAAATGGTGGAGAAACCCAAATTAAAGCACCATGGTATACAGTATACTAAGCAGAGATATAAGATACCATTTACGAAGTTGTGGAGCTTGGTTGTTTGCTTGCAGACGTTTCATTATCCAACTGATGATGTAACCAAGTCAGGTAATGAAACGTCTGCAAGAAACAACGAAGCTCAAAGGACACTGAGGATTCCACAGTTCAACTTTGAGCTACACATATTCTCCTGTCTTGGTACTTGTGAAGTTGTCTGAGAACATTTCAGAGGCACTGAAGGTCATGTGAACCTTCATCACCACTGAGACCTTTGTACTTCTGCCAGGACATATGAAGTGTTAGATTTCCACCCTTACTGTTAAGGCTGCCTCCTAATCCATAATACCAATGGTATTAGAATTATCCAGTTCTCTAACAATGAAAGATGACTTGTCTGCCAAGCCAGTCGAAGATTATTTTCAATAACAGTCACAAGCAGGCCTTGGCTACAAGAATATCTCTGCTCTCCAAAGTTAATGTTGTGATATAGAAAGAGGGGGAGAGAGAAAAGGTCCTATTTTGGTCACCACTGTGGATACAGATTTCACAATGGATGCTCCTAAGGGTCTTCCAAAAAAGGCTGCCCACCAATATCTCTCAGTATCTATTGCAATAATCTTGTCCCACAAAATCCTGTCATTGACACAACAAAAAGAGGGCTGGGGGGGAAGCACCACTATTTCTTAAGTAATCCGAGTGGGTTGGAAATTTGACCACCTTATTAAAACAGGAGTTACTGACGAACTGCTGAAAGGCCAAGCTTCCCGGTGTGGTTTTTATTAAGTTTTGGGAGCAAGAGATATAAACCCCTAACTATGCTGGAGTAAAAATCTTTCTAAAGGGTAACATAAGAAAAGGTAAAGAGAGAAAGTAAAGAGAGGCAGGACTCGGTGGGAGAGAAGATCCAATGTAAATTAAAAGAGAAACAGATGCCAAATTTAACTTTGACCTAATTAGCAGATACAGGGAATTAGGGTGGCACTCTGCTTCATAAGGAAGTGGGGGAAAAAAAAAGAGCTACATTGCTCTGCACAAACAAAACAAGGAAAGGACTCCAGGAACTGGGGGAACCTGTATTTTTCTGTGAATCCGTAGGTGCTAGATCTCCAGCTTCTTGTTGATGAGAAGAGAGCAGGAACTAAGAGTCCCACCAAGTTTGGCTACTTCAGTGCATGCCGAAGGAATCAGGGTGTAATCTGGAAGCTTCTGAAATGGCTAAGAACACAAGCAAACAGAAACATGTTATTTCTCTTCACAAATGCAACCTCTCCTAACTCGGGCCTTTAAAAGCAGGGATAGACCGTATTTTCTGAACTGGAGTCCACACCTGACATTTTGAGATGTTGCAATCTCAAACTCTCTCCCCAATGCACTCACAACACAATTGCTTGCAGAGACAGGCCTGCTCAGAAAATGGCCATCACCACAGACCCATTAGTCACAAAACGTCCAATTATTAAAAGATAAATCAGCTTCTGAGACACTCTCTGCCATGCCAGAAGGATCTTTATGGGTACAGGATAAAGAATAACAATTAACCAGTGGAACAACCTGCCTCCAGAAGCGGTGAATGCTCCAATACTGGAAGTTTTTAAGAAGAGACTGGACAGCCATTTGTCTGAAATGGTGTAGGGTTCCTGCCTGAGCAGGGGGTTGGACTCGATGACCTCCAAGGTCCCTTCCAACTTTATTATTATTATTATTATTATTATTATTATTATTAACCCCCTGCTAGAGCAGGAGATCTTATTCCATTTCAGACAAATGGTTGTCCAATCTCTTCTTAAAAGCCTCCAGTGAAGGAATACCCACAACTTCTGAAGGGAAGCTGTTCCACTGGTTAATTATTCTCATTCTTAGGAAGTTTCTTCTTAATTCTAGGCTGCTTCTCTCCTTGATTAGTTTCCATCCATTGTAGTAGACAAACAAAGAAATGGAAGACAGAGTACATATTTACAGAGGATGTTACTTAATTTGGGTAATGAAACATCTGCAAGAAAACAACCAAATTCAGAGAGCACTAAGGACCCCTCATTTTAACCCTGCTACAAATATTCACCTCTGTTGGTAAATATATACAACTCAAATATGGAAGGCAAGTTTGCGGGCAGTCTATTTCATACATGGCAACTTATTTTCAGATGGCCAAAAATCTGAGAATAAGCTTTTCAATCATTCAGAAAAATCCACCTTCACTGGCTTACTGTAAATGAGGCTGGGACATTCCACTTACAATTTCTAAAAGTTGTCCGAGGAGAATTGTTTTAGTCTATGGTTGCTAAAAATCAGGACTTTAGTCACACTTTTTCTGACTAACATTTTAGTAACCGTGCACATTTTCATCGGCTGCAGGCCACATCATCAGATGCATGGCGTGTCTGAAGTGATACAGGATTTGAGCTGGGATGACATGAAGGGGAGGAAGAAAGGGAAGATGCTCACACTGATGATGTTAAATAGATAAATAATAAAATAAAATGATGGTTCTTGGATAAGGAAATGTCTACAAGCAAATCCCCAAGCTCAGAGAGCACCAAGAACCTTATATTTCAGCCCTGAGCTACAGATAGTCTCTTCTATTGAAGACAAGTTAGTAATGCAAATGTGGATTACATTGTGATGCAGATTCAAAATAGATAATAAACACTTATGATAGGTTAAAAACCCACTTTAAAATGAGTCTTAAAGAGGAGGTTGAGACTCTAGAACAGTGGTTCTCAACCTTTTTAATGCCGTGACCCCAACCGGTCGTAAGTCGAGGACTAAACCGGTCATAAGTCGAGGACTAAACCGGTCGTAAGTCGAGGACTAAACCGGTCATAAGTCGAGGACTAAACCGGTCGTAAGTCGAGGACTAAACCGGTCTAAGTCGAGGACTACCCAACCGGTCGTAAGTCGAGGACTTTCCCTGCCCGGAAGCGCCGCGCATGCGCGGTTCTGCCCCCTGTGCCGGCCGAGGCGTAGCTGGCAAGCAGCAGAGACGGAGCAGGCCGACCACCAGCTGGCCCAGCCCAAGGGAGGTAAGGCACCCGCTGGAAAAGGGGAAAAAAATAGCGGACAAAAAAAATGGCGGACAGCTTTGCTTGGTGACCCTCATGAAATGGTCGATCGACCCCAAATGGGGTCCCGACCCATAGGTTGAGAACCACTGCTCTAGAAAGAGTGCAGAGAAAAGCAACAAAGATAATTAGGGGATTGGAGGCTAAAACATATGAAAACGGTTGCAGGAATTAGGTATGGCAGATATTTTCTATATCTCAACCCCTCTGCCTTACACCAGAGAGGAACAATGTTTATTCTTTCAGAAATACCTTCCTTGGGTATGTCTAGTTTAATGAAAAGAAGGACTAGGGGTGACATGATAGCAGTGTTTCAATAGCTAAAGGGGTGACCCAAAGAAGAGGGAGTCAAGCTATTCTCCAAGGCACCTGAAGGCAGGACAAGAAGCAACGGATGGAAACTAATCAAGGAGAGAAGCAACCTAGAGAAGTTAAGGAGAAATTTCCTGACAGTGAGAACAATTAATCAGTGGAACAACCTGCCTCCAGAAGTTGTGGATGCTCCAACACTAGAGATTTTTAAGAAGTGATTGGAAAACCATTTCTCTGAAATGGTACAGGGTTTCCTGTTCAACCAGGGTATTGGACTAGAAGATCTCAAAGGTCCCTTCCAACTCTATTATTCTGTTATCTTGGACACTTGCAAGATGTTTGAAACTCTGCTTAAACATCAAAATTGATCAAGAGATTGCTGAATTCCTCTACTTTTAAAACTCTCAGGTTATCTCACAAGATCTCAACAAATAGTTGGATGAGGTGACTTGCAGTTCACAGAAACCTGTGCCCTTAAATCAACTATGTCATTTTATTTTATTTTTTTGCCTTTTCCAGACCAAGATTAAAGAGACCTTGCAGAGATCTGCACTTCTTGCTTCCTTGCTCTTACCAGACTGCCTGGGGCTTGACTGCAAGGATTATAGCAGTGCCTCTAGCGTGTCTCATTTTCACTATGCCAGTTTCCTATTTAATTTCTTTTTTAAAGTGGAAGTATAAAATGGAGCAGGTCTCTTGATGGGTTCCCAGGGAGCTTTCTGAGGATACACTGGTATTTGAGGATGTACAGTTTAAGAACCTTTCTTGATATTTCAAATGTGTTCCAATAGAAGAGAGTATTTGTAGTCCACGATGCTCTCTGAATTTGATTGTTTGCTTGCAGATGTTTCATTATCAGCAACAGAGTGTGCAGTTTGTTCTCTGTTCACATACAGTAGCTTGCCCTGCAAGTGTTGGTGGGGATGTAGTTTTCTCCTTAGTAGTTTCTTGAATATAATTGTTTTCTGCTTGTTTGTGTGGTGTTAATCCCTGCTTATCTGAGTATTGGTTGCTAGAAAGGATGTGTTCTAGTCCTATCTATCTATCTATCTATCTATCTATCTATCTATCTATCTATCTATCTATCTATCTATCTATCTATCTATCTATCTATCTACCTACCTACCTACCTACCTACCTACCTACCTACCTACCTACCATCACATTTCTGAACCACCCAACTCTCTCAAAGAGGGATTCTAGACAGTGTACAATTTTTGTTTCTTTCTTAGCTTTTTATTGTCTTTTTCCCAGTTGAAACTATAGTTGAGCCTGTCCATGTGTTATGAGATTAAGTCATTTTCATTGTGTGTTCTGACAGCTACTTTATTTATTTTTAGCCTGCCTTTATTATTTTTATAAATAACTCAAAGCAGAGAACATACCTAATTCTCCTTCCTCCTCCTACATTACCCACAATAACAATCCTATAAAATGGGTTGGGCTGAAAGCGAGGGACTGGCCCAAAGTCACCGAGCTGGCTTCCATGGCTAAGGTGGGACTGGAATTCACAGTCTTTTGTTTTCTAGCCTGGTGTCTTAACCACTAGACCAAACTGGCTCTCTCGGTTGGTATTCATGGATGCACTCTGCTAGTCTGGGGTGGGTGTTATTATTTTATTTTATTATTTTATTTTATTTTTCTACGTTGTGTTTTTATTATCTGTAAGCCACCTAGAGTCGCAGTGAGCAAGTAGGTGGCTATATAAATTTTCTAAAATAAATAAATAAATAGTCTTCTTCCAGTCCATAGTGGATGTTGTTACAGTCTTTACATTGTGCGTTATGTAAATAGATGTAGATGATTCCTGATTTTACTTCTTGGGCTACTGGATCTTTTGGTTTACTTAAGATATTTTGGGCCAGTTGCCGAGCATCCAAACTGCGGTCAGATGACCAAAGGGCAGGCACTGCAGCTCCAGAATCAGGTTATAAGTAGCTTTTGGCTGATCTGTTGTAAATTCAAATGATTGCAAGTCCAGGACTACCTATTGAGCTTTCCTTGAGTACAGTGTGTGTGTGTGTGTGTGTGTGTGTGTGTGTGTGTGTGTGTGTGTGTGTGTTTGAGAAATTGATAATGCTGAGAAAAGTGAAGGAAAGAGGATGACTGGCAGTGGTGATGGGTGCACCTTTGGAAGACCTGAAGGGCCAAATAATTCTGGAGAAGGTCCATCTCTGCGGTCATTAAGATTCAACACAACTTGATAGCACAAATGTTTCAGATAGAACCTATTTTGTGTTCCCCAAAAGCTTCCCCCCCCAAACCAAGCGTCCCCATCCTTCCATTAGACCCAAGTCTCCCCTTTGTCTTACTTGCACACTGTTTGGGTATTCTTCTGCGCTGCGATGCAAAAGAACACTACTCTTCTGGCCCAGACGAGTATAGATGCAATTAGCCGCTGGATCATCAGGAACTGTCAGGGTTTCATAGTGGTGATCAGTTAATTGCTCCATGGTCTGCAGAAAAAGAGAAGGAGGGCAGAGGAACTCAGCTCATCTGCAGCTCTAGTCAAGACAACGTCAAAAACGTAATTTTCATTTTGTCCCCCTTCCCATCCTCATTCGCACTCTTACTTGAACTGGCTCATTTCCAGCTTTCCTTTTTCTTACACAACTTGCATTCTGAGCGCAGTTGAAAAAAATCCTCGCTAAATCAGATACAGGTAGTCCTCAACTTACGACCATTCATTTAGTGACCGTTTGGAGTTACAACGGCACTGAAATAAAGTGACTTAGGACCGTTTTTCACTCTTACGACCGTTGCTACAGCCCCATGATCATGTGATTAAAATTTGGATGCTTCGCAACTGGCTCATATTTATGACGGTTGCTTTGATCCCCTTTTGTGAACTTCTGACATATCTGATTCCCAGATGTAGCCGTTTAACAAACAATGGGATCATTAAGGGTGCCTTAGATGGGGCAGCCCTTGGATGCCTAGCACAGTGTCAGCCTCGCCTGACCTGGGCCTCCTAAGGCAGGGCTTTTCAACCAGTGGTACCGGTACCACCTGTGGTACATTGGCACCTGGTAGGTGGTATGCAACCATCCTAGAAAAGTGGTAGCGGGGGAGGGGAATGAGCTGAACCAGTGGCAGCACTGCACAAGCCTGAGCGAGAGATGGCTAGAGCTGCAGGGCTGTCAGGGCTCAGCGGAAGCACCAGGATCAGCGCCAGGCTCCAGCTGGAGCTTGGCGCTGATCCTGGTGCTTCTGCTGAGCCCAGAAGAAGTGCCGATCAGCTGGAATGTTGCAGCATCTCCAGGGTCTTGTGATTTACATTCAGATGCTTGGCAACTGATTCATATTTATGACGGTCACAGTGTCCCAGGGTCATGTGAAGTGACCAAAACCTGCTGCAACCACCCAGCAGACGAGGGGAATAAAAACCAAACACTCCCCCACCCCACCCCCGCTGCCAATCCTCAACAGAAATGCTCACAACAATGAAAACCTCGGACAGGAGGAAGAGCGCCGCCGGGTGGGCAGGCAGGTGTCTTGCTCGGCTGTGCCTTGGGGGCACTTTTTTCAGTGCCATTGTAACTTCGAACAGTCACTAAGTGAACTGTTGTAAGTCGAGGACTACCTGTACTTTATCACTTTTTTCCTGGGGTTTTTTTTTTTTTTTTTTGTCATCAGAGTTTTGACACCTTGCTAGGCGACGGGTGGTACTCGGATGTTGCCATATCCTAAAAGTGGTACAATGGGTGAAAAGATTGAAAAGCCCTGTCCTAAGGCTTCTCCCACTCCAGAGGCACTCCATACCTCACTTTTCTCCCCTTGGGGTCCCTGCAATCCTTTATCTTTCTTCCCACCCAGTGATCTTGGAGAGATCAAGCCACCTGACGTTTGCAAGTCTCCAGCGAGCAAGGGGGAAATCAAGCTGGATAAATTTTGCAACTTCCAATGAGCAAGGGCAGATCAGGCTGTATCTTGCAAGCCTCTAGTTGCCTAGGGATTTTGCAGGAGTTAGCATGCTTCAGCACTCAGAACCATCCAACATAATTTTTTGTTTTTGCAGCTTCCTAGAGACGCGCCTGGCTCATTACAGGATCAGCTTTCTTAGAGAGCCAGCCTTGTGGCAAACTCATGCTATCCTGAAGCAGGTTCTCACAATACTGTAGAGCAGGGGTCTTCAAACTTGGCAACTTTAAGACTTGTGGACTTCAACTCCCAGAATTCCTCAGCCAGCCCTGGCTGGCTGAGGAATTCTGGGAGTTGAAGTCCACAAGTCTTAAAGATGCCAGGTTTGAAGACCCTTGCTATAGAGGGCTGCCAGATTAACTTAACAATCGCGTTGCAAACTTAACAACTGCATTGACTCACTCAACAACCCTCGTTAAAAACAATAAAATGGGGCAAAACTCATTTAACAGCTGTCTTGCTTAGCAATGGAAATTTGGGGGTCAACTGTGGTCAAAAATTGACGACTACTTGTACGTGAAAGAACCAGATCGATGGTCAATTCAGGACTGCGACAAGTAGCCAATCTCCCCCTGAAGCAGAATGTACCTCAGCAAGACATCTGGAAACTATTTATAAAAGTTTGATCTGTTTTTTATTTTTATTTTATCGAACAACAAAGCCCAAAGCAGCCTCACAAAGGGAATGATTCATGGAGAACAAGGCTGTGCATACTAACTAGCTGTGAAAACAAATGAAATCTTCCTGTCCAAAGGCAGTATATCTCTTGAATAATAGGTGCTGGAGATGATGATCACTGACAGGCCTTGCTTGAGAAAATAGAACAGCTATTCTAGGAAAGTCATGCTGGTCTGGGTGGGCTGCAACCCATACTTAGCTTTATTTAGCCAACTTCCCAGTGTCCAAGAAATAAGCAAAGCGGCTATTTCTGCTCTGTGTTGGAAAATGTGCCTATAACCTTGAAAATAAACCCCCCCATAAAAGTTTAACCTTCAAAAAAAAAACCCATTATTTTTCTTGCCTGTCAAAGATTGGACAGAATTTTTTGTGGAGCTTACAGGTAGGCCTCATCTTACAACCATAATTGAGGCTGGATTTATGGTCACAAGTTGTGCTGGTCATTAAGCAGGTCATCACTTGGCTGACCTGATTTTACATTTTTGTGGGAGCAATCGTTAAGAGAACCCATTGTCTACAATGGGCATTTTTTTGTGGGAAACCAGAAATAACAGTTCCTCACAAAAAATATCATAAATCACCATCATGTGACTGCAGGCACTGCAAATGGCCGTAAATGTTAACCGGTTGCCTAGCAGCCAAAAGGTGATCATGTGATTGAGAGGATAGGGATGGCTACTGGACATTTGAATCTGGGTTGTTTGAATCTGGAAGTTTGAAAAAAAAAATTGTCCGTTGTAATTTCAAATGGTTGCTATGCAACCACTCGTAAGTCGAGGACTACCTGTACTGCATTTCTTTGGGCATGAAATGTGAGCAGCAGTCCCTCTACCAGCCTGCTGTTTCTCTTCTGGAGAGGATGACTTATCCGCAAGAAATTCCTTGTCCTCCACAGTTAGTAGCATTAATGGCTATTGGGCAAGGACATTTTGGGGACTGGGATGAATGGGGTTCTTTCCTAGGAGAGGATCTACCCAAGAATCTGAAGGAACCTTTAAAGAAAAAGTCTTGGTGATTCCAGGAATTACCTTCATGGCTTTCTTAGCCACTTCACTGCTGCCAATGACAACGGTGTCAGGTCCAGCCATGCTGCAGAAGCTGCGGAGATGCAACGTGCCGGAGACAGGAACAGTAGACACAGCAAAATCCTGCAGGAAGAGAACATCGCTTGAGCTTCTGCAGAGGCCCCTGAACTGTACATAAGAACATATCTTCCCTTCCCTACCTTCTATCTAGTACATGATTCTGCCAATAATCTTACTTGAACAGCCTATATAAATCACGCTTCACAATTTGAGGCCCGCTTAGAACTATTGGGTTTCGATGCCCATCATTCCCATCACCAAATGGCCCACCTTCAAAACACAGATGTCTGAATTCAACTGAATTCAGACATCTCCTGGTGGGTTTGAGTAGACTTCTGAAATAGCAATTAGAGAAGTACAAAAATGTTCTGAGTCCAGAAGGAACCGTTTCAAGCATGGATCACTTTGGGTAAGGTTAGAGCACTTCCAGGGAACTCTGGACTCCACAGCATCAGTTTCAGAAATCCTCCACATGTGGATTATATAGCGAATCTCTGATGGGGATGAAGTTCTAGAGCAGTGTTTCCAATGGCTGGCTAGGGAATTCTGGGAGTTGAAGTCCCCACATCCTTAAGCTGCCAAGGCTGTGTTCTAGAGGGTGAACTGGGAGCCCCCTTCTTTTGGGGATGGAAACACAGATGGAAACTGACATCATCACTGTCTAACTGTATACACTGGAGTGTATTCCTGAAGTTTTCCCTTCTAAAGCGTTCAAAGCTAACAGCCAACACTGAGCTTTGCAGTCCTTGTGATACATTTGCCACCTGCCTGCCACACATTATGGACTAGCATCCCTATTATTCTCAATTAACTTGGTTGGGTTAAAGAGGACTGCACTCTGCCATGAGTTATTGGGTTGAGAGAGGCTGCCTAAAACATGTCTCAAAATCCCCTGCTATGGGCATCTTCATAGGAGCTCTTTGGGGGAATATGTTGAAGTGAAAAAATTCCCAGTTTGGAAAAATAATGTTTTTACTGTCTGTGGAGATTCTCAATCATCCAGGTCATGGTTGTCTCAAAGGTGTTTTCCAAAAGGCAACTGGACTTTCTTGGGGGCTTTTTTTCCCTTGAAAACATGTTGCTTTTCATACAAGAACTGAAAAAGCTTTTTGGATGAAAAGCGAACCTTTTTCAAGGAAAAAAAAATAACCAAGAAAGTATCTTTGAGATAATATTTTTATTGCCGTTATTGTTTTTGCATCATGCTATTCCCTCAAAAAGTGGCCCAATTCAATACAACTACAGTACATGTGAGAAGAAAAACGAAGAACAGTATCCAGGGTATACTAGCCTCCTTGTATAAATATATCTTTGGGGTAGGCGGTTGGCCCATTCTAAAAAAGTCAACTCACTCTAAAAGCATCAGCTACCATCTCTGCTCCTCTGTGATTGGTCCATTTGGAAATACCCACAAAGAACTCTCTACCTGTGAAAGAGAAAAGAAAAGTGGAAAACAGGATCATCAGCTCTTAAGAAGCCTTCCCCAGATTGAAGAAGCCTATAAATCGGCTGGTGTCATCACCACAGCTCAAATCTGACCAAAACTATAATAATAATAATAATAATAATAATAATAATAATAATAATAATAATAATAATAATAATAATAATAATAATAATAATAGTAATAGTAATAAAGTTGGAAGGGACCTTGGAGGTCATCGAGTCCAACCCCCTGCTCAAGCAGGAAACCCTACACCATTTCAGACAAATGGCTGTCCAGTATCTTTTTAAAATCTTCCAGTGTTGGAGCATTCACCGCTTCTGGAGGCAGGTAGTTCCACTGGTTAATTGTTCTAACTGTCAGGAAGTCTCTCCTTAGTTCTAGGTTGCTTCTCTCCTTGATTAGTTTCCATCCGTTGCTTCTCGTCCTGCCTTCAGGCGCCTTGGAGAATAGCTTGACTCCCTCTTTTTTGTGGCAGCCCCTGAGATATTGGAACAATGCTATCATGTCCCCCCTCGTCCTTCTCTTCGTTAAACTAGACATACCCAATTCCAGCAACCGTTCCTTATATGTTTTAGCCTCCAGTCCCCTGATCATCTTTGTTGTTCTTCTCTGTACTCTTTCTAGAGTCTCAACATCTTTTTTACATCGTGGTGACCAAAACTGGATGCAGTATTCCAAGTGTGGCCTTACCAAAGCATTGTAAAGTGGTATTAATACTTCACGTGATCTTGATTCTATCCCTCTGTTAATGCAGCCTAGCACTGTGTTGGCTTTTTTGGCAGCTGCAGCACACCGCTGGCTCATATTTAAGTGATTGTCCACTAGGACTCCGAGATCCCTCTCACAGTTACTACTATTGAGCAAGGTACCCCCTATACTATACCTGTGCATTTGGTTTTTCTTGCCTAAATGTAGAACCTTACTTTTTTCACCATTGAATTTCATTTTGTTAGATAGCGCACAGTGTTCAAGTCTGTCCAGGTCCTCCTGTATCCTAAGCCTGTCTTCTGGAGTGTTGGCTATTCCTGCCAGCTTGGTGTCGTCTGCAAATTTGATGAGTTCCCCATCTATCCCCTCATCCAAATAGTTGATGAAGATGTTGAAGAACACTGGGCCCAGAACAGAGTCCTGGGGCACCCCACTACACACTTCCCTCCATGTAGATGCGGTTCCATTGAGGACCACACGCTGAGTACGGCCGGTCAGCCAGCTACGAATCCATCTGGTGGTGATGCTGTCTAACCCACATTTTTCTATCTTGTCAAGTAGTAGGTTGTGATCTACTTTATCAAATGCCTTACTGAAGTCCAAGTAAATTATATCCACAGCATTCCTCTGATCCACTAATTTTGTCACTTGGTCAAAGAATGCAATAAGGTTTGTCTGGCATGATCTGTTTTTGACAAACCCATGTTGGCTTTTAGTAGTGAATTTGTTTATTTAGTAGTGATTTTGTTTGATTTTGTTAAACATCAGTTTTCCCTGGGAAAAAAAAGTCTTAACAGGTAGAATGGCTGTATATAAGAAAGAGGATTTCATTTGAACAAGTGTTCACTCCTAAAACATGCTGTTGATGAGGGTTTTTTTTTTCCTTTTGTTCAATTATGTCTGATTCTAAGAGCCTGCTTGGACAAGTCCTTACACTTTTCTTGGCAAGGTTTTCAGAGATAGTTAGCCATTGCCTTCTTCCTAGGAGTGAGAGAGTTAATTTGCAGCCCCATGGTTGCACCTGGCCTCCAACCCTCTTTTTCATGATCTCTGAAATGCTTTCTTACACTACCAAAATTCAACAGCGTTAGGTCCCATCTTTTTTAGGAAGGAACCCCAGAAAAACTAATGCAGTTTGACATTTTTAAGAGCTACCTGTCCAACTTATAAAAACAAAAAACTGTTCATATACATCAGTGTTTCTCAACCTTGACAATTTTAAGGCATGTGGACTTCAACTCCCAGAATTCCACAGCCAGCAATGCTGGCTGTGGAATTCTGGGAGTTGAAGTCCACATGCCTTAAAATTGTCAAGGTTGAAAAACACTGATATACATTATTAAATGTAAATAATATACATTATTAAATGTAAATAATAACATTATTAAATGTTAATAATAGAGAATATATGCAGCTCAGGGTTAAACTGCTGGCATCCTGGTGTTTTCTGGTTGTTTTCCTGCAAGGAGAGAAGCAACCTAGAACTAAGGAGAAACTTCCTGACAGTTAGAACAATTAACCAGTGGAACAACCTGCCTCCAGAAGCGGTGAATGCTCCAACACTGGAGGTTTTTAAGAAGAGACTGGACAGCCATTTGTCCAAAATGGTATAGGGTTTCCTACCTGAGCAGGGGGTTGGACTAGATGACCTCCAAGATACCTTCCAACTTTACTATTATTATTATTATTATTATTATTATTATTATTATTATTATTATTATTATTATTATTATTATTATTATTTGCTTCATTAACATTGCACTGATGGTGTTACCAAGCCTGGTAATGAAACATCTGGAAGAAAAATCAAATCAAGCTCAGAGAGCATCAAGAAATCCCAGAAATTACCAGATTTGAATGACTCACCACATTCTATGAACTTAAATAAAGTTCATAAATTTAATGAATGAATAAATAATGAATATTTTCCCCCAAAACAAAGGGAAGCTTCTGAACCTCAAATAATTGCTCACTTCTGCTTTAAAATACCAAGCTATTTTGGACTCTGCAGCACCAGATCTTTCTTTGCTAGCTCTCATTTGTCTGGAATGGTATAGGGTCTCCTGCTTGAATAGGGGGTTAGACTAGAAGACCTCCAAGGTCTCTTCCAACCCAATTATTCTATGTTCTATCTTATTATGGAATAAAGAACATTATGACAGTGGACCAACTCACCTGTAAAGAGCACATCACTTCCATCCAGGGTAGCTCCCTCATCTGTAACTTCTACGACACGAAGTTTTAGCTCCTCCAAGACCTTTTTGACACAGCTGATCTGTAAAAATGACAGTGGAAGTGGGGAGGGAAGAGACAGAGAAAGAGACACCTGTTATGGCTGGATCTCATACCTCAACTGTCCTCAGGTGTTCTCATTCTTAATACTCTTCAGACAAGATTCAAAAGAGGCTTCCATCAAATGGCTTTCCTCACTTTAGTTACTATTAGACCAGGGCTTTTCAACCAGTGGTACGGGTACCACCTGTGGTACATTGGCACCTGGCAGGTGGTACGCGACCATCCTAGAAAAGTGGTAGCAGCGGAGGGGAATGAGCTGAACCGGTGGCAGCACCGCACAAGCCTGAGCGAGAGACGGCTGGAGCTGCAGGGCTGTCAAGGCTCAGCGGAGGTGATCCTGGTGCTTCTGCTGAGCCCTGAAGAAGCACCAATCAGCTGGAAAGCAGCACTGATCCTGGTACTTCTGCTGAGCCCAGAAGAAGTGCCAATCAGCTGGAATGCTGCAGCATCTCCAGGGTCTTGTGATTTACATTCAGATGCTTGGCAACTGATTCATATTTATGACGGTCAGTGTCCCAGGGTCATGTGAACTGACCAAAACATGCTGCAACCACCCAGCAGACGGGGGAATAAAAACCAAACACCCCCCCACCCCATCCCCACTGCCAATCCTCAACAGAAATGCTCACAACAATGAAAACCTTGGACAGGAGGAAGAGCACCGCTAGGTGGGCAGACAGGTGTCTTGCTCGGCTGTGGCTTGGGGGGCACTTTTTTCAGTGCCATTGTAACTTCGAACAGTCACTAAGCGAACTGTTGTAAGTCGAGGACTATCTGTACTTTATCACTTTTTTTTCTTTTTTGGGGGGGGGGTGGTCATCAAGTTTTTGACACTTTGCTAGGTGACTGGTGGTACTCGGATGTTGCCATATCCTAAAAGTGGTACAATAGGTGAAAAGGTTGAAAAGCCCTGTATTAGACAACCAATGACCTATTGGGTCATCCTTTGAGAGAAAGGCAGGGCAGCGTGATGGAAGAATTATAGTGGTAAACTATAATTGACTTTGCTCGTAGGAAACTGGCAGGGAGTGTAGAAATCTCAATAATGTGACCAAGCTAACAGTTGCAGCCACAACTGCGCCAATACAACTTGTCTGAAGACCTTTGAAATTTCTCTTCCAGAGCAGTAATGGGCCCTGGATTCTGTATACACATTTAAAGTTAGCAGATCTGATTCAAAACCTGTTACACTACGATGTACCATTTCAGCTAACTGATGGTTACACACAAACAATGAGAGCATGCAGATACAGATATTTACCACTATTGCATACATATACTATAATAATGAGATACTGTTATTAATCAGACTTCCTCTGAGTCTGTATCAAGGAAAAAATGCTCCAAATAGCCAACACACTGAAGAATTTGGCCTCACAGAGCCTCTGTTATCCATGTTCTTTTTTAATACATTGAGTAATCATGACATGGACGATGCTATGTAGAGAAGCCTAGCAGGTATCTCGGCTCCAATTTGAATTATTTGGGCCATATCCAAACAGGCCAATTTTCACAACTCACATCTCTTACTAGATTTCCAGAAGTCAGCAATCACTACTTTGTTTATATTGTAGCAAGAAGGTAAGCCTATTTGGTTCTTGACAAAGCAGTATAAGCAAAGAATCAGGAAACACCGCCCCAAAGGAACTACAATTTAACATTTCTACATGTGCATTACATAAAGAATAACTTGAAGTGCAATGGGGAGCAAATGAAACAAGAAAAAAATGGAAAGGAATTAATGTAGCTCTATATTTTTTTATCTCTTCCCAGAGGCATGAAGAAAAATAAAGGGATGGAAGGATGGAAATCGGCAATTTGTAGACCTCCAGATCTGACTGAACTGCAATTCTTATTATTCTTTGCCATGTTGACTAGGACACAGTGGAATTAGCACTGAACAATATCTGGAAGGCCATTGGTTCTCCAGTTATGGCCTCCACATATGAAATTGTACTATCCAAGAAAGGCGGGAGTTTCTATTTAAAAAAAATTATATCCCACTTTATTATTTTTATAAACAACTCAAGGCGGTGAACATAGCCACTGCTCCTTCCTCCTCTCAGTCTCCTTACAACAGGGGTCTTCAAACTTGGCCCTTTTATGACTTGTGGACTTCAACTCCCAGAATTCCTCAGCCAGACATTCTGGCTGAGGAATTCTGGGAGTTGAAGTCCACAAGTCATAAAAGGGCCAAGTTTGAAAACCCCTACCTTACTACAACAACCCTGTGAGGTGAGCTGGGCTGAGACTGTCTGGCCCAAAGTCACCCAGCTAGTTTTCTTGGCTAAGGCGGGAGCTGAACTCATGGTCTCCTGTTTTCTAGCCTGGCGCTTTAACCAGTAGACCAAACGGGCTCTCCATATTTCCATATTTTATTTATTTATTTATTTATTTATTTATTTTATTACATTTGTATATTGGGGCAAATGTCCAACTTTTGTTCACAGGCCCAACCAAATTTGCTGGAAGTGATACAAGGGTGGGAATGCTGTCATAACACAATCCTAAATGATATAAATAATGAACGTGAACTGGGCGCTTCATCGAATATATTATGCAGAGCCGAACAAGGAGAGAAGGAGGAGACCTCAGTCTACCTATCCCCAAGTCCTATTAACCCCTGTATTTGCTACTACTGAACTTCATAAAAATGCAATTGTTGGTCAGTTTGCTACAGTGCTCTGAGGATAAAAGGAAATGTCTCTTTATGACTATTAGTTTTTGAGGATGTTGAGACAGTCTCAAAAGAGAAGAATGGACTATGTTGTCTCTCCTGTTCTCTCCTCAGAATGTCCTACAGATAGTCTTTCTGATGAAATAGCCTACTGGGGATTCAGCTCATTGATGGAGAAGAAATTTTTTCCCCTCTCTTCCAAATAATAGTCCATTCTTGTCCCTGAGTAAGGCAAGAATGCTAGAATCTTGTGATTTTGGATGCATCCTAGAATATATACACAGTGCATAAACTTGGAAGTTCCAATCTGCCTCTAAGAAAAAAAAAATGTAATCACATGAATGACCTTTAACTTGATCTATTATTCTTTTGTTGCATCTTCATGCCATAGAGATGCCGTGGCTGTTCTAATTTTATCAATGACTCATCTCTTTCCCCCCCACATAAGCACTTTTTAATTTAATTTTCATGGATCGGGTGCGCTTCTGCTTTTGACAACATCTGTGACTTTCCTTCGCTGCAAACGTGGCCTTCTTTTTGCTTCTCCGCTTCAACCCATTGTGCTTAACAGTCTAGGTGATTTCAATTTTCAAGGAATATTTTAAAATGAGTGTTTGTCTTAAAACACACACACACAACTTTCCAGAGCTGAAAGGGACCCAAAATGGAAATTTGCAGGTTGGACCCTAAAGTTCTGTCTTTATAAACATTCCATGATTCCTATGGTGCAATATTTCTCAGCTTTGGCAACTTAACATGTATGGACTTCAACTTCCAGAATTCCCCATGGCTAGCTGGAGCTGTCTGGGAGTTGAAGTCCACACATCTTCAAGACTGAAAAATACTGCTGTACATGGAGTCCTTGACTTAGAATCATTTGAAGTTCCAACAGACCAACTTGGGGGATACTTTCAACCCAGATTCGAAGTTCCCATGGTTATCCTCCTCACACATACACACACTTCTACAAGTGCTCGGCAACCAGGTCATATTTATTGCCATTTGCAAAAATCAAGATGACATTCACAACTAGGTGATGAAAACCCAGCCTCCTTGTGGGTATACATCAATGTGGAGGTGGGGTTTTGATCACGCAGCTGTAGGCATCTGGATCTCCAATGCACACTCACTTAATTGAGAATCTATTGATCATGGCAGACAGAAATGCAAAAAAATCAGTAACAGAACTAAAGATACCCCCCCCCCC